CGCCCTCCCGGCGGGCCCCCCCGCCGCCGCCGCCGCCCTCGGGGCTCTCGTTCCGTCCTCCGCGCCTCGCTTCACCTCGGCAAAGCGCTCGGCAGCTGCTGCGATTCCACTTGAGAGTACCAAACAATGTGCATTTATTTCCTTTGTTAAATACGCGAGAAATGCAAATCGTTCGGACCAAACCTCTCCACACCAGCGAAGTATAAAAGTTATTGGAAAAGTTAAAAATCGCATCCTTCTCTTGTGGTGATTTACTGGGAGCGGGGGCCGGGGCTGGGGGACCGTGTGTGGTTTTGTTTCAAGTAAACTGTGCGTCCGAGCAGTGCACTCCGCAAGCCGGATTGTCCGTTTGTTTCTAGCACTCTCGTAGTGGTAATTTAAATCAATAAATAACCCCCCGTCTTCCCCTTTTAACAACAACAAAAAATATACAGATGGGTAGTGAAAGGTACAGAAAATGTCGAGGGAAAGAAGCTCTGGAAATGGTACAGCTTCCTTCCCCCTTGCAATTGAAGAGACCGTCAGATCGGGATAGCAAATAAATGACCTACATTTCAACAGACACAGACAGACAGACAGGACAGAGGAGAGGGCTTTCCCCCTCCCCAAAAAAACATCTTTTTCTGATTGTCCCACAAAGCCGCGGCCGGCGCTCGCCCTGCTCCCAGGCTGTTGTGCGGTGCTCGGGGCCGCTCCGGCAGCTGTCAGCGCTGGGAACCGGCCCGCATCACATCTGTGCTCTCCGGCACCGAGCTGCAGTGCAGCGTCCTAATGGCTGGGTGGGCAAGAGGCCTCCTGTTTGTTTGTTTGCTTGGGTTTCTTTTGTGGTTTTCCTCTCTTTCTCTCTCCCCCCCCCCTTTTTTTTTTCTCTTCCCCCCTTTCCTTTTATTTTACTCAATTTCTTTTTTTTTTTTTTTTCCCGCAATAATTTTAATTTTTTTCGGGACCGATAGTGCTTGCGGCAGGGGAAAACGGCTTGATAATCACATCAGCTGCGGCTGCTGCATAGCTTCTTGGTGAGCCGAAGGATACCACGACGTGTAGCTGGGGATGTAGGTGCCCGGGGTCCCCGACGAGGCCTTACCGGAGGCGGGGGGGG